AAAAAATTCAGTCGGATACATTAAACTTCAATGAATTTTTACACTATTCAATTATTGTTTTCTTTTTCTAAGATTTATTTGGAAATCTTTAGCATTTGCCACATTTAAAATAATTTACGTTTACTATGGTTTACAACGAAGGAGTATTAATTAAAGAGCGCAATGATAATTTAAACAGCAAGAACAAGTGTAACAGAAGATAGATAGATATAGAGAAAGAGAGAGAACAAATAATGAATGATGTAGTTTCAATTGAATTATAACCTGAATTCCACGAACACGAGCTAAAAGAGTGGTTTGGTTAATTAAAAACAAAAGATCCCTGTTGTATCTCGTGATCGGTGCTACACAACATCAATGCAATGGTTTTTAGTTTAACAAAATGATAAACTCCCGAAACGCCGTCGTTTACAGGGCAAGGATGAAAGCGGCGGAAGCGGAAGCGGCAGCGAGGAGCCCCATGCAGAGGCGTGAAGCGTCGCTGCTACCGGGAGCGGGAGCGTGAGCGGAAGGAGACGCTGCCATGCTACCTTCCACGGCGGCAAGAGGAACCTTGACGTCGGAGAACAAATTCTCAATTCCAGGTACAAGGATGGGCTTGGTGACCTCAAGAGCGGAAAACTCTTCGGGTTGTTTGGCCACGGTTTGCACAAGGCCGACGGTGAAGACTGTGCCGGGAGGAGAGGCGGCGGATCCCAAGACAACCTCGCCTTCGTTGACGAGCTGGACGAGGACGTATCCCTGTTTGTCCTTGGCGAGGCCGGAGGATTGGAGGAGAGTCTCGATGGGAGTTTGGCTTCCAATGTTTTCCACCAGCTTCTTCTCGTCGTAGTAGCCGATAAGGACGTGCGTGCTGATGGTGGCCTTCAGAAATTCCGGTGACTTCCCGGCGAGAGAAGCCATGGCGTCGTTGCACATGGGAAGAACGGTGACGGCTTTAAGGGCGTTTATTTTGTCAACCAGATTGGCCTCGGTTAGGGCTTTGTTGAACTGTTCATACTGAGGATCGTTGAGCGCCTGCAGCACATCCAACGCTTGGATGCTTCTGCATACGGCCAGAAGAAGAACCACTGCCAGAAGAGAAGACTTTGCGAAACCCATTTTTCACGAGTTTTTTTTTTTTCTTCTCTTCTTTTCTTTGTCTTCTCCTTTGTTATTATTAGATACCGAAGCCAAATCTGGTTGATGGAGAATGGCGTCGTGAATGGTATTTATAAGAATTCTGTGAGGCTTGTTTTCCGTCGAGTCAAATTTTCTGTTATGGGTTCTTCTTCTTCCCGTGGTGATGCATGGTTTGCGTGGAGAAACGCGCGGAGGTGGCTACTTATTTATAGACGCTAACAAAAAATTTGTGAAGGAGTTTACATTACATTCCTCAGAAAAAATAGCTATCCCTACTATGAATATTATCACTGCTTGAAAAATATTAATATCGTATACATAGATAATTAAGATAATCAATAATGGTAATTGTAGACTATGAGACTGATGATTAGAATTATAGACCAATTTTATTATTTGTTTTATATAAAAAATAGTCTATAGACATACATAAATCAAGTTTTAAAAAGATATATGTAAATATTGTAATAATTATCTTATTTTAAGGTTTACTATCTTATTACATGTAATGATAAAATTGAAATAAATGAAGTAAAAATTAGTATAATATTCGCATTTTAATATGTTAAAATTAAATATTTTATAAACAAATAAACATAAAACTATTTTGTTGGGTTATTTAAGCCAATTAATATGTTTTTATCCATAAGATATGCAAGACCAAACAAATCAATAACGCAAAATACTTAATAGATCCCACATTTTTACTTATAGTTACGGAATCAATTTAGACGATTCATTTCATATTTCCACCCTATAAAGAATCATAAATATTTATTCATGTTTTTTTAAATTTTTAAATAATATTATTTAGAAAAGTTTTTTGAAATATAAATTTAAATAAAAATACTATTAAAATATAATATAAAATATTTTTGACTCTAACCATGTTACTTTTAAGGAGATCTAAAAGCAAACATTTGAAAATACATTAGTTAATTAACTAAAATTTAAACAAAATTTCATGATTATATCTATAGAGAACTAACTACCACCCAACTGTGTCTCTAATAGGAAAAATTATGGTCTCGTAATCCGTTCTTAAGAAGTTAAAGGCTGAACTAATTATTCATTTTGTTACATCCATCCATGTGGAACGATTTTGATTTTGACCAAAATATCCTTACTATTTGATAATGCTTAATGAAACAGGTTACAAGTTAAAATGTCACGTATATAATCTTTTACTCTAATTTTAATTTTAAGTAACACATACAAAGATATCAAATTGATAAGTTTAATACGTCCTCTGATAATTTTGTCGCATTATATTTTAAAATTTTAAAACAACACTCAACTTCAAGTTCATTGTTGATCTCTCCTTCAATAATTTCCATCCTTTTAATGATAAATTTATGTGAGTTTGAGTAAGTCGATTTAATGTTATCTTTTCAAAAATAATTTTCAACACTTTTTTTTATTCTAGCAAAAATTAATTAGATTATAAAATATTTTTTTATTAAAACTATAAAATCATTTTTCCAAGCATAGTTTAAAGTTTCGTGAAAGGAAATATCAATTTCGAGCTATTTAAAGATACATAAGAATCTAGGTTTGCCTCACTTTGTTTTTCTTGGATTGAACAAACAAATATAGAAAATACTAGTTTTCATCAATTCGAAAAGGTTAATCAATTATAACAGTACAAAACATTTAGTAGAATGAAGATTAAAACAAAGACAGAGTTTCCTTAACCAGGTCCTACTTTGGGAATATCATAATGCTCACTGAGGTTGGCCAGATATCGGTTGAACTCGTGAATTCTATCTCTATGAGACTTGCTCGCCATTTTTGACAGTCTTTGAAGCTCAAGTTTCTGTGTCTGATGGAGAAATCGCCTTTCAGCTGGAGTAAGATGATCATCATATGATACACTCTCTGTGCTGTCTTCATGGTGATCCATTGACATCTTTCCACCTAACATATCTAAAATGAAAAGTAAAATAAATTGTAAAAGAGTTCATGTCAAACACTTAAACATGCTTAGACTAATTTAGCACCACGATGAAATCAGCTCAATCCTTTACTTTTAAAGTACTATTTGCTTAATCTATCATGATGAATCCATTCACATATTCAACATACAAAAATTTCCTGCAAGACAGTTTAAAGAAATTCAAAGAAGCTTGGCAGGAATCAGGCATTCCTTAATTCAAAACTTTATGTAAGTGGCAGAACAATCAGAACATGATCAAATAGATCGGATGCACAAAGGAACTGGCAGAAAAATTGAAACTGATACGATGAGGACACTTATTTCAAGGTGAGGACAGGCCAACATTCATGGCAATATTTTGTCCTCTATAAGAGATTGAAAGTTGAATGATTAAGGAATTTCTTTGCAGATTAACACCCTTGCAGTAATTAGAGGAAACATTCTTGAGTAAGGTACTACAATTTGAAAAGTGATACAGAACAGCCGCAGAGGTAAAAGAACATCCAATTCTAAACCCAACTGCTAATTCAAAAATAACAGAAATTTCTGACTCCACATAAGCAAAGAAGCTGAAAAATAATATATGGACACACAAATTCTATAAACTTAGTAAAAAGATTTAAGCATAAGCAATATAAACCTAAAGAAAAGGTGTAAGACGCAGATTAAAATTTTGACCATATTTCAATGTTTCTTTGCCCTTTGAGATCTTTAGCAGTCTGCATCATTCCATCCTGAGACAAGAACACATTTTCAATAACCAAATATATTGAACAGAGGAGTCAACATTTGATCAAATAAGACAGCAATATCAAGTGACTTGCAAAAATAAATATTTTGAAGCCACACTGCAATAATGTTTCTCACACATCATACAATATATCATATATAAATAAAATAATATGTCTGAGAAACAACAAATATTCTTATATTAATTATCCCTATATTAATGATCCAGTAAGCCAAACAAAAAATCTTCCTAAATTCTAATACCATTAAAAAATAAATTTTAAGACTAACTTTCAGTTTATAACTGGTGAAATTTGTCAACTTATATACTCTAAATTGTTCAGTTCGTCGAATGACTTGCAACATTTCCTTTGGCAAAAAGAAACCCGAAGCTAAGATAATGATAATTGCACAGTTTAATCATGCCCAAAAGAAAGGGAAGAACATTAAGCTCACCGGAACTAGTTTGGGAGAAATTATGATATCTCTTGTCTCGTTTCTTCTTCTTTTTAATCCTAAAAGCTTTTACATCCAACGCTTTTCCCTTCAGCTTCAATTTCCCACCCACGACGCTGTCGTACACCGACATCTAGCTTTTCAGAATCTTCCAAATACAGAACCCACGTTAATTTCTCAGTAGCACTCCTCCTTTTACAATTAAAAATCAACGAACATTACGAATTGAATGCAACAAGTAGAAATACGTGATCAAGAAAGTTGTCACCGCTATAAATTGAATGAAAAAAGTAATGTTGGCGAATTTTCTGGAAACAAGTCCTCGACCTTTTTGTTTGGGCTAGTTCAAATAGCCCGACCTTGTTTGGTTTCGGTTTTATTTTCTGCACCCCATAACTTCTTAGCACACCCCTACAATTGTCCAAAAAAAGCTATTTTACCTTACTTTCAAAATACATGTTCCGGAAGTTTTTCAGAATTTTTAGAACAAGATTTCTAGAATAAAATTTCCAGAACAGAATTTTTAAAAGTAAAAATATATTTTGAAATAAACTTTTTAGAATATATGTAATACTTTTTAAAATAAAATTTTTAGAATATCAAATGTGTTTTGGGAAAAACTTTTCGAAATATATAAAATATGTAATGGAAATAATTTTTTTGGAATGATTGTATTTTTTATTCTCTGCAGCATTTTTTTTTCTCTACAACGACAGTAACAGTGGAAGCAGCGACAACAGAAACAGCAGTGTGGTGTAATGATGGAAGACGCTTGCGCCTTTTATTATTATGGGGTGCAGTAATTGTGGTGGTGCGGATAGCAATAAATAGCCTTTCGTTTCTGTAGTACTCCTTCCCTTTTCAGTCGAGTTCTCTTCCTGCACCCCATTAATACTATATACACTCCTATACTTAATAAAAAGATAAAAAAAACTTACTCCACTATACACACCATCGTTTTCGCAGAAGAAAAGGAGAGAAAATGCATTCTGAAAAAACTCCTTCTCAAAAGCTTTTTCTAGAACATATCTTATGTGCTTTGGAAAACTCATTCCAGAAAAGTTATGTTTTGAAAATATTATTTCAAAAATTCTATTTTGAAAAACTTATTCTAAAATTAATTTCATTTCATGTATTCTAGAAATTCCGCATAATTTTTATTTCGAATGCTGTTTTGTAAATTTCATTTAAGAGTCAGTAATATTCGGAAAATTCCAAAACGTTTATTTAAAAAATTCTCAAAATAGCTAATTCGAAAATAACTTTTATAAAAAGTAAAATATCATATTGAAAGTTGGGGTGCGGAAAGAAATCATAGGTGCAGGACGAGAAAACCTTCAGTCTTTCCACCTGAGTTGAACCTTCCATTCTTCTCACTCATCCAAAAATAACCAGTTGAAGTCAGTATATCAATAGGCTAACAACTGGCCACGTCACACCAAACCCGTGACGCCACGTGTCACACTTTCAACTGCTTGATTACTCCCACCTTCAGCAAAAAGCGCAACTAACGCTCGTACATGGCCATTCTCCACTGCACTCCACTTCCATTTCTTTCCCTCAGAACCACACTCTGTTCCTCGAAGTCCACGTTAACCTCAACACTCACAAACCCAACAACAACAAAAACAAGAAACCCGTTGTTCCTGGCGATGAACACGCTCGCGAAATCCGAACCCGTGTCGTCTTCAGACTCTTCTTCGTCAACGTACGAGGTTCCTGAGCTCGATGCTAACGACATGGACCGCGTTGCGGATAACGCTTTTCGAAGGTACACGTGGAACACCAAGAGGAGTGGCAAAGGAACGGCCATTGTATGGTTCAGGAATGATCTCAGAGTTTTGGATAACGAAGCTCTCTACAAGGCATGGCTTTCCTCCGAAACCGTTTTACCTGTCTACTGCGTTGACCCTCGACTCTTTGCCACTACTTATCATTTCGGCTTTCCCAAAACCGGTGGTATAGTTATATAACTCGTGTTCAAATTCATCTGCACCTTTTCTTCTACAGCAAATTTGGATGCAGTTCTTTTAGTACAAAGTGAAATGCAATATCTTATGTGTTTTTGGTTTTTTCTTTTTCTAATTTCTACATGAAAAGAAAGTATGTAAGCATCGCATCACTCACGTAACTTTTGTGCAGCATTGAGAGCGCAATTTCTCCTTGAATGTGTGGTGGACTTGAGGAAGAATTTGATGAAAAAAGGGCTTAATTTGCTCGTACAACATGGGAAGCCTGAGGAGATTCTTCCTTCTCTTGCCAAAGCATTTCAAGCTCACACAGTAAGTCTTTGAATTTCAAGCCTGATTTCGAATTGATGGAATTTCATTGTTTAAACTATACGGCTCATTGATGAATATGAAGCTGTCAGGTGTATGCACAGAAAGAAACGTGCAGTGAGGAGCTGAATGTTGAACGGTTAGTCATGGAAGGTCTTAAACAAGTTGCGACATCATCAGGAGAATCGAGTGGTGTCACAGTTTCAAACAACATCCTTAAATTGCAATTAGTTTGGGGTACCACCATGTACCATCTTGATGACCTCCCTTTTGATGCCACTTCTTTGCCAGATATGTATACTCAATTTCGCAAGGCACGATATTCTGAATCTGAGTTTCTTTTCACTGCTACAAATGCTTACTGATGGAATTCGAAATTTGCAGATTATTGAAGCCAAATGTACCATACGCTCGTGCATCAAACTACCACCATCTCTTGGACCACCTCCCTTGATTGAGGATTGGGGATGCCTTCCTTCATTAGAACAGCTTGGACTTTGCTCACAGAATGTAGGTTTTTCCATATCTATTGGTAGACACCATTCAAGAATGATGAGATAATGAACTTTATCATTCCTTTATTTTCATCCTCAAAATTTAGGTAATCAAGGGAATGAAGTTTGTGGGGGGTGAAACTGCAGGATTGAGCAGAGTACATGAATACTTCTGGAAGAAGGTTGGTTATCTCAAATTGACAATTTAGATCCAAATTAGGTAACTTGTCACTGTTGTTGTTGCTGTATATGGCTGTTCTGTAAAACGTTACCTTAAATATGATGTTGGAGACACTAATTCCAGCCCTTGTTTGGTTATGTAATGCATTCTTAAGATTGTTCATATGTAGGATTTGCTGAAGGTATATAAAGAGACCAGGAATGGGATGTTAGGGCCTGATTTTTCTACCAAATTCTCACCATGGCTTGCCTCGGGAAGTTTGTCTCCTCGTTTCATATATGAAGAGGTTAAAGCTTGCAATGATCTCTGTTTTGTGCATTGTGTAACAGCTAAGAAATGAGAATGTATGAGTTAACAAACTTCAGTCTGTTCTTTATAGGTAAAGAGATATGAGAACGAAAGACTAGCAAATAGTTCTACCTACTGGTAAGTAGAAACATTGCATCTTTCTTATTAATGTATATCTTTGTCAAATTTCAAAATAGTATTCATTCTCCTACTTTCACTTTGTTATTCATCCCTTAAATCTAACTTTTCTGATTAATTGGATTATGTGAAGTTACTTTAATTTCATCAGAGAAGTTCTGTGTTTTTTTTCTCCCTTTCACTTATCATTCTATTTGTTTATGAAAAAACGAACTCGTTGACAGATTTGACTTCCTCCATCTTCTCAATTTGTTTTCTGTTTGAACTATCTTTACTTTTGCAGGGTTTTGTTTGAGTTGATATGGAGGGATTACTTTAGGTTTCTGTCAGTGAAATATGGGAATTCGCTTTTCCATCTAGGTATTGATAGGTTGAGAAATTTGATGTCTCTGGTGTTTACAGAGTTATGGTTTTAAATTCTTCTGGTTTTGATGTGGAAGTGAGAAAAAACATCTTCCTATAACACTGTCTTTAAAAAGTTTGTTCGGATTACTTAGGTAAAATCTGTTTTTCTTTTCAGGTGGCCCTAGGAAAGTTCATCGCAACTGGAGCCAAGACAAGAATTTGTTTGAATCCTGGAGAGACGGTTGTACCGGGTACAATTTCTATCCGAGATTCAGAGTGTTGCTGAATTTGTTTTGATACAACTACTGTCGCTTGATTCTATTCAATGTTTCTTGTCTTAAAACATCAAATTAAATGTTGTCCCTGTTATGTTGTCTTATAATCTTCTACCTATTCTTTTGGCATAAACATGTAGGTATCCTCTCATAGATGCCAACATGAAAGAACTATCGACTACAGGGTTTATGTCTAATCGAGGACGACAGGTATCAACCCGAGCCCATTATTGTGTTTGTAAAGTATAATAAATTCTAGAAATTTATTCAAATACTGATTTTTGGACCAAAGTATATAATACTATTGTTATATTTCACTGTGATTTTCCCATCAAATTTTATAACTGAAGCTGAAACTTGATTACCTTCTTGACAGATTGTATGTTCCTTTCTTGTTCGTGATATGGGCATAGATTGGCGCATGGGAGCGGAATGGTTTGAGACGTGCCTTTTGGATTATGATCCATGTTCTAATTATGGAAACTGGACTTACGGATCAGGTAAGTGGGGGTTCGGGAAGAAAAAAATGAAATGGGGTGCAGAAAGAAATAGCCCGTTTGCTAACATGAGCATGTTGATGATGTCCAGTGAATATTGTTTTCCTAGTTTGAGATTGGGTTGTTTGTATTCATGTATATTAAGCTTACTCAAATTCAAACTATATCATGCTTGTATTAGTCTTCTGTTTATCATTTTTAAACAACAAATTTTACAACCTATCCTCCATCTATTCTTTCAAAGTTACCAATAGAAGACTTACTTCACATTTTAAATTGGATCGAAATGCTTCAAATTTTGGAAAAATGACAAAGATTACTCTTTTATTTGTCAAAAAAAAAATGAAATAACGGTATAAAAAATTAATCAATCAATTTAATATTCGATAGTCACAAATTCATTAAATGGAAAAGTAATTTTCAATTATTTGATTTATTAGATCTTGAATTTTGATGAATTTTTTTGGTTCAGGAGTTGGGAATGATCCAAGAGAAGATCGGTATTTCAGCATCCCAAAACAAGTAAGTTCCAATGTTTATATAAAGTAAGTATGTAAAACATTTTTGTGTATTATTTGAAAGGTTTTGAATATTGTATATTTTAGTATTTTCAAAATGAGTCACCTGGCTTATTCAATCCAGTCCACCACAGGTGAGCGAGTTAAACGAGTTCACTCGCTAACTTATTTGATTAAAGTTTTTTTAAAT